ATAGAAGACTTTTTTTTAAAAAAAGTAGAGCAGAGCTGTTCGACTATGGTGTAGCAACTGTCATGTCAAAGGTCACACATAAGTCGTATGGTGTGTACATGTGTGGTGTTGACACCATGTTTATGTTTTGCTAGTTCGGATTGCTTTGGCTCATTTAAAAATTTATTTTGGACTGGCTTCGCCAGAGACTGGTGTCACTTCCCGTCAAGAAGACTATCGTACGCATCACTTTGACTGAGTGCTTTGTTTCTTGAGATCAATGTTTGCATTTATCCCTCTCTTTGTTCGTTATCTGACATTCTGGCACCACATAATTCAAATATAGATTCTAACGCATAAGTCTGCTGACTATTTTCCGTGTTGTATATGCCACTATGCTTTAGCCTGTGTCGTAGACAGTCTAAACTGCCGGACTATATCAGGGATTTTATGACACGTCTGGCTGCAACACAGGCTACTATGGTTTAGATCAGGCAAGATTTCATCAGTTGATGGTATTTGGTTAAATGTCCCACTAATGTGATGGTACTTCATATTGCACGACTTCTTTGCTACTGCGAGAAAGCTAATTTATGCAGCCTGCTCGATTCTGGCAGGCAGATTTCTTATTGGTTGAAATTAACAATGCCAAGTCCACGAGTCCAGCCGTGAGTTCGGGGGAGGAGTGCGGGCTCCTCTCCTGAACAGCAGCTGGTAATCAAGCCTATAAAAATGCCTGAGTTTCAGAAATCAATTGTTTGAAGGAAACTAACCATTCTTTACATTATTTGTACATTTTGTTGATGAAAAATGTCAGTTAATAATCTCAGACATGTAGTCATCGTCACCACCATCTTCCAAGTCAGAAATATCTACTTTGTCGTCAGAAACATCCCTGATGCTTTCCAGGACATCATTGACTGTAAATCTACTCATAACTAGCAAGAGAACTCTTGCTAGACACTCGAAAAGATACTTGTGGCACAACCAAGATGGCGGCTGGCATTGACTTGATATGACAAATAATGTGTGGCACAAAGTGAAGATTCAAACATCATACATTTCTCACCAAATGTATTCTTTGTTACCAGGCCCTTATATGTTTAATTATATGCGGTTTCATTGTTTTCACAGTGTGCTTAAGTTTTCATACTTGTAAATGCGATACTTTAGGACGTACTGAGTACGTCCTTGTAGCATGTGTGTAATCTGAGACAGACTCAGTACGTCCTTGTAGCAGTGAAGGGGTTAAACATGGCCAGGAGTGTGAGTCATATCTGGTAAAATGACTAACTTCCCAACTTTCACTACTGGAAGTAAATAAATGAAAACAAAGTGACAAAGCAATAAAACTAGGGCAATTTTCATATGTTTTTCACATGATTTTCACAAACTTTTCATGTTTCTTTCTCATGCATAAGAAATATTATATCATATGAAAGGTTTCTGAAAACTTTGATGTCAGTTTATGTCAGATTCTTAATCGACATATGGTATCACTGCTTGGATTGGCCAACATGGTTGGCACATGCCTGGAATACTCCTTGAAAAACTGCTAGGTCCTTGAAAACTCCTTGAAAATGATTTTCTCCTTGAAAACTCCTTGAAGTTGAAGAAGCAGTGCTTGAATTTTATGAAAAAGCCTCGAATACTTGAGAATACAGCAAAATAAGTTCGTTTTGACATCAAAAGATTAAAAAGATTGCGTATAACATCTAACATCAGTTGAGAAACTCAGTTATTGTCTCAAAATGGCGAAGCCTTTAATAGCAGGACAATTCAGTGTTTCTCATTCAAAGCATATAAGTAACTGCACCTTCAATGGGGTTTCCCAGGTGTATTGTGTAGGCCCCGTCTAAGCAAATAAAACCACCAGGGAAATGTAGCTTGAAGTGTGAAATTTATTTGACTCTAGTCCTGTTTATTGTGTCTTCAATGAATTCAAAAGGTCAAAGAGGAAACCGCTTTTATAATCGACAGTGGGAACTTAATTCCAAGTACAAAGGTTGGTTGGGGTGTCTGGAAAACCAGAATAGTGAATAGTCGTGAACAGCGAATAGTCCCGAATAGCGAATAGTATGAAGTCTCGATTAGTGCGAATAGTGTGGAGCAGTCTCGAATAGTGGCAAATAGTGGCAAATAGGTTACCCAGTATCTCGCAGTCAACCTCACAGCAATGTAGGATGGGATTTTCTCGCTAAAAAGCACAGACGCTTATCAGGACAAAAAGAGTTTCTGAATGTAATTACTTCTGTTTTAACTGCTGCAAAAGCGTTAATTCGTCTTTATTAGGTCATCCTTGTGTTTTCTGTTTTCTTCATGTCAGTGATGGACAGCCCTAGCCTGAGTCTGGAGAAGAAAAGGTAATAAATTCACTGAAATTCTGTTGCTTATTTGGATAATTAATTAACACAGGACATTAGGTCCAAAGCAGTGACTATTGACCACTATTTGTCACTTTTCGGGACTGTTCGCCACTATTCGCACTATTTGAGACTATTTGCACTATTCAGGAATATTCGCTATTCGGGTTTTCCAGACACCTGGCTGGTTGACTGCGTTTAAAGCTGACAGGAAAAAGGCCTTCTGCAAATGCTGTGATCGAATGATCAACATTTCAAACTTGGGAGAGTCTGCATTGAAATTGCACATGAAAAGTGAAAGGCACAAAAACAACAGTAGAATTGGAGGTGAACAGCCAGTGATATTATCCTCATTCGGTTTTGTATCATGTGGAAATGGAAATTCAGCTTTTTTGGAGTGACTGGGGAGAAATGTGATAATTGTGCCTGTGGAAACGGACTCCTTGAACATTGTGAAAAGTCCTTGAAAAGTCCTGGAAAAGTCCTTGAATAAAAGGTCATCAAACTTGTATGAACCACAGCCAAGTTCTTTTGATTTACAAGAATTTAAAAAATTCAGACTGCCAATCATCAAGTGTTTTGAAAACCTTGACTGTCAGTCCGTGCCATACAGAACTTTTTTCCAAATGTCACAGCTCATTGAGGTTTTTTGACATATCCAAATATCCATACGACTTTGACATCATATGGATATCAAATTTACGTCAACCGTGGTGAAATTAACTGCATTGAAGAGACACATTTATGACCTTTCAGAAAATGTGCACATGTTCGTAGTTCAAATGAAAAAGCTTATGGCATGAGAAGGTTCTTACTAGAAAAATGGTGTGGCACACAGCATACGTAGTGGTCAGGCACTCAAGGGGTTAAAAACAAATTGGATTGGCAAACATTTAGTGTTTTGACAGGCACCAAATGGCAACTGAACATTTCTTCAGTGATCAGATGGAAAAATTTGGTTGCCTAAAAGTGTTCACAAATGTTCATTTCACAGTGAAACTGAAACTCATGTAAAAAACAAAGTTTTGAAACACAAATTATTTTTTGCTTTAAATGTCATACAGTGAGACCTGTATTAATCAGACACCCTTGGGACACTTACTAATGTCCACTTAATACAGGGGGTGTTGACCATTTGTCAGAATGAACTGGTTGGGATGACCGTTGAATTAATGGTAAGGGTTTTTCCAAAATCAGCAAACCAACCGAACAAGATGGTGCTTACCATTTGCAATTCAATTTCTTGTTGTTTTCGGTTGATGAGAGGCTGGAAACTGGAAAATTTACCAAATGGTAAGGAAATTTCCACAATTCCGTTCCGAATGGAAAAAGAGGACTACCTCTGGAGGTAGTCTACAAAATTATTCCAAATGGATTTTCTGGAAAATTACTGTTCCATTTGACTTCAACTGAAATTGGCGGATTTTTTTGCTAAATGGTAAGCACCCAGTGTGTCTGCTCTAAACAGGTTCTAATATAATGTGCAGCAATAGTTGATAATTGAGAAGGAATCTGCCGCAAGTTTGAATAACAAGGAGACAAAAACTTTGTACCAAGATTATTTACACTGTATTGCAAACTTCTGGATGACTGTTTTAAATATCTTCTTGAGGGAAATCATTTGTTAAAACAACATGTTGAAAACAAATTTTGAAGTTCATTTGAAACACCTGAAAGTACTGGTGAAATGAAACTGATTGTGAAATTTTACCTGTGTTTGCACAATTTCTCTGAACTTCGAAGTTTGTTTTTTGAAGTTTCTGTGGAACACAGTGTTACAGTGTAAGATCAAAGATTGCTGATTTCACAATGTCCGGTCAGTCAATGCATCAATCTGGAATAATGTCTTTAGCTTAAAATGACATCACTGAACAATGTTAAAGGAGTCTGAGTTGAGCCTTAAGAAATAAAAAGCTTATTGCAGGTGTTGTGCAACAAAATGTGCAGATAGATCTATCCCAGCTCTACCATCTGCTTATCAAGAATATCTGGTGACATATAAATTGATGATGTCACAAGTGGTACAAAGAGCATGACCACTCAGGACATGTATGTAAGTCCTTGGGGGTCAAAGGGTTAGTAATGTCAATATCGACTGGTATAACTAAGATCATCTTTCGTTAACGTGGAAAGAGCGACTTCTGATTTGGAAGCTTTCAATATATCCAAACCTTGAATGAATTCCTTAGCACTTTTTCTCCTAACTGTGAAAAGTTTTTAAAGATTTGCTGAGTGCCAACAAACATTTACCGGCAAAAGGAAAACACATGTTTATGCAATGCACCCAAAGTACTGTCAGTTCAACTGTCAGATGAAACCTCTCAAGACATGGTGGCCAGCTGGCACTATTTCAGTTATATTGTCCAATAATGTAATATACTTATTTATGAAATTTGTTAAGAATTCTTTACAATTACAATTATTGTAAATGTAGTTTACATATTTTAATTAAGGGGGTCAGTTCTATATGAGGATTAAGTTCTTCCTTGCCTATTTGCATGTAGATATTTATATATTTATTATGCAGATAAAGCTGTTATAAATATATAAATTTCCATTTTAACTGTTTTATTGCCATGAGTGACATTTTTTTCTCTTTGCTCTCATTCCCAACAACAACAGTGTTTCCAGGATAGCTAACCTCTGTTCCATTTTTAGACACTTAGGTTTCATCATGGAGTGCAGACAGGGCCTGACTGATCTTTTGGGAGAATTGTATGGTAACATCGATATGTTGCAAAAGGCAATTGCAGAAGTTGGTCAGATCAAAGGAAGCTTGAAGACAACGGCCTCAGATTTGAAGTCACAGATTCGGGACAGTGTCAGCCGCCATCTAGAGGCATTACGAAACAGAGAAACCTGGTTGCTAGGACAAGTTGAGGTGGTTCAGCATGTTAAAGAAGATGCATTGCACCAACAACAATCGGAACTCAACAAGGCTCTTGGAAGACTGCAGTCACTTTGTGTATTACTGGAACAGACTGGTGAAGTCCTTGACACTAAAAGCCTGGAATGTCATGTAAGGGAAAGCATAACTGCTCTTGGTGACCTGAACTTTTCTCCTGAAGAAACCAAGGTTATCAACTTTGTTGCCCAGAATTTTGAACTTCAAGAGCTAATTCAGAAGTTTGGAAATGTGGTTTCTGATAACCCTGGTGTTGACAAGCAGATAGTTCCCTACTTTCAAGTGCTTGGACTTGGTAAGAAGAGTTCCTTCTTCACTCCATCAGGGCCAAGTGAAAAGTGGCTCATGAAGACCAGTGGTGCAAACACTTCACAACATACCCTCAAAATCCCTTCCTTTGAGTTAAATATCCAGGACTGGCTGCAGCAGAAGAGAGTGCCAAGCACCAGTACCACAGAAAGCTCAGTCCCTTTTCCCAAGCCACATCCCATAGAGCATTGGTTATCCAAAGGCCAGTCAAAGACTTCTACAGTAGAAAAAGAAAATTCTTTGGAAACACCAGAAAACAAGGGGCAAGACAATGGCAACGATGCAACTATGGTAAAGAACAAAACATCAGAAATCCAGGGCTGGCTTTTGGATTCTTCTAGGACGCGTGATTCTACTATAATGCCCTTAAGCCAGTTCAACTACTACAAAGTTGTAAAAATGTCTGAATCAAGCCAGTGGTTGAAGAAGTCAGGAATCACAGAAGATGCACTTCCCACTAATCGTACTGGTATAACGTATAACAATATCGCTACTTCAGGTGTTGATGAGTGGCTGAAGAAGAAAGTTGAAAGTACAGGCAGTACAAAATTCTCAAGAAGTATTAGTACACAGTCATGTTCAGATTGCCCTGCTGGATTGTCATCAGAGTGCTCTGACGTGGAATTGGATGACACCTTGAATGAGATGTCTGACCGTTTGGCAGTAGAAAAAGAAGATGGTGAAAACAGCAGTGGCTCTGGGGCTTCCTCAAGTTATCTTGCCAGTGAAGTACCTGATAATGATAGATGGTTATTCAAGCAGTCATGTAAAACCAATATTTTAGCCCAGGACTACGCTGGTATTAAGAAATATAAAGATAATCTGGCTGCTCAATCTACTCAGCATTGGCTGCATCCCCGCAGTGAGCAAGGGTCTGATAACAGAGACGCTGAAGAGCTCGCAGCAAGTGGAGTGAAGTCCTACATTGACTCTCTTCCAGTTGGTAAGAACCACTGGCTTTTAAATCCTTCTACAGATAAAGACATATGCAAGTGGCTGGCAGGTAGCTCATTTGAGAGGTGTAAAAACTGTCCAACCCTGTGTTCTAAAGGAGTGTTTAAAGTCTTCGATCAGGTAGCAAGTTCCAAGGATGGTTGGCTGCTGTCACAAGAACTATACTGAGAGTCTTTAAAAAGAGCTGAAGGTACCAGTATGTGTAGTGTTTTATGCTTCTTATTTTCAATGATATGTTTCACAGTGTTCAAGACCAAAAAAAATTAAAGCACTGTAATTAGAAGCTGTTACTTGTAAATAAACACTTGTAATGTGTTCTTGTATATTTTTTGCTCCAGTGTCCCTATGTGGGGTGGGTATGAATGTTTTCTGGAACCACATTTTTTGAAAGAGAGCATAGAGCATGGATTTGCATATGTAGACACTAACACAATTACAGTTGCCAATAAAATTAATGTGTAGTTGCAAGAAGCAGAAATGTCAAATAGTAAGAAAAAGGGGAAAAAAGAAAAGAAAAGAAAAGAAAGATGATTAGAAGCAGGGTCTTCTATCAAACAGTTTACCTGTAAAATTAATATGAAATTTGTTGAAACAACCTGCAAAGCAAGTTACTTCATGAGTTGACATCTGCATGCAGTTTCTAGTAGTGAGAATTGTTTCACCACCAGAAAAAATTCTTTGATTAGGAGCAGGGCCTTCTATCAGGAATGCTTATAAATACAAATTTAGTTGAGAGAACCTTTAGAAACATGTAATTTTCACTTTGACAGTAACACAGTTATGAGAATGCAATTCGTAGAGCGTAGAGCATGGATTTGCATATGTAGACACTAACACGATAATTATTACAGTTGCCAATAAATGTGTAGTTGCAAGAAGCAGAAGTGTCAAATAGTAGGAAAAAGGGGAAAAAAGAAAAGAAAAGAAAAGAAAAGAAGGATGATTAGAAGCAGGGTCTTCTATCAAACATTTTACTTGTAAAATAAATATGAAATTTGTTGAAACAACCTGCAGAGCAAGTTATTTCATGAGTTAACGTCTGCATGCAGTTTCCAGTAGTGAGAATTGTTTCACCACCAGAAAAAAATTCTTTGATTAGGAGCAGGGTCTTCTATCAGGAATGCTTATAAATACAAATTTAGTTGAGAGAACCTTTAGAAACATGTAAATTTTCACTTTGACAGTAACACAGTTATGAGAATGCAATTCCTAGAAGTAAATGAAATCAATATGTTGTAACAGAAAGAAGAGCTATATTGTTCTTCAAGTAGAACTTTATTGTAGGCCAATTTGCATAAGTAGTTGAGCAAGTACACTTAGCATGCAGATCAGATTGTTTGTATAACACTATTTCTCTCAAAAGACCATGACATATAAGGATTCACTATTTTTCTATTTATACATTATCCATCCATTATTGGATGCCTTGTGTAGATAAGCTACATGTAGCCTGATTACATGCCAATTCCTAATCAAGTTGGGTACAGCTGTAAGTGCAGGTCCTGTATCTGGGATTTTATATTACGCAAAATACTTTTGTCAGGAAAAGTTTGTCTTGTGCTAGTTAAAACCTTTTAGGGTTGTGTCTGTCAAATTTAATTTCCACTGAGTTCAACTTTTTTTCAGTTCAGGTGGTTAGAACCAGACAGCAGGAATTTATTATGTCTCTTTTTTTGAGGGGAGGGGGTGGGAGGAGGGGGGTTTGGTAATGGATTTGATGGTTTGGAATGATGCTTTCATGGGACAGTAAATTAAAAACTGATTGTTTAAGTACACCGTATTCTTAATGGGGAAAGGTTATGTTGGGGTTAAATGTAAAATGTAGATTAGTTTTATGAACATGTAGTTAATCTGAGAGCGACGTGAATTACACCGGAGCCTACTGCAACTTAACAGGGAGACTAGGATCTAGGACGGGAATAACGTGTACTGGTGCTTGGTTTATATTTATATTACTACACGTACACTGTAGTATAAACTGCTATCCATTCATCAAGTGGATTGTATGTAGTTAACAAGTAGATTCCATGTTACAGTGTCTGTTCAGTAATAGATCAGAGATGACATCAAAAATGTTGTAAGGACAAGACGTGGCGCATGAGCAGATAGCTGAGTGGGTCACTGATGTTCTTACCACATTTTGAAGTCTTCTGCGATCTATAACTGAACAGACGCACAAAAACATGGAATCTTTTTGTTATAGATAATAAAGAAACTAAAACAAGTTGTAATGATGTCATCGATAACGATTATACGTCAGTTCTCCTAAGTAAGAACCAATCTAAAGAGAACAATGTGACTTCTTATATAATTTTGGATAGCAATAAAATTGGACATTGTTTTTCTATCAGTTTCCTGACTGTTTTAATGCTTCTGCGTGAAAAATATAAGTGAAGTTGCAAGGCGCAGACATTGGTAAAGTGACTATTTTAACGCTTCTGTGTGAATAGCTCAGATATTGGTAAAGTGACTATTTTAATGCTTGTGTGTGAATACCTCAGACATTGGTAAAGTGACTATTTAAATGCTTGCGAGTGAATAGCTTAGACAATGGTAAAGTGACTATTTTAATACTTGTGTGTGAATAGCTTAGACTTACGTAAGGTGACTATTTTAATGCTTGTGTGCGAATAGCTCAGACATTGGTAAATTGACTATTTTAATGCTTGTGTGTGAATAGCTCAGCCATTGGTAAAGTGACTATTTTAATGCTTGTGTGTGAATAGCGTGGACTCTGGTAATGTGACTATTTTAAAATGCTTGTGTGTGAAAAGCTTAGACATTGATAAAGTGACTATTTTAATGCTTGTGTTTGAATAGCTTAGACATTGATTAATTGACTATTTTAATGCTTTTGAGTTAAAAGCTGAGACATCGATAAAGTGACTATGTTAATGCTTGTGTGTGAATAGTAGTATATCCAAACTGGTCTTTGTTCCACAGATCGCTGAATAAGAATTGGAGAAGAATTGCACCCATTGTTCTGTGTAAGAACAATGAGGTAGATCCGAAACAGAGACCAGGATGGATATACGTGAAGGGAGGTTGGGTGGGTGGGCGCTCGGAAAGAAAATTACAACTACGAAACCTAACAAGCAACAACACCCTGCCTGGCCCAGCAACCCCCTTCCCCTTCTTACATATTTCTCTCAAGAACACGGTTTGCTCTACTAGCCGTGGGTTAACTTCAAAAGAGGCCCACAAGATGAAACTGTTTCCTTTTGTAGTCTTGAATAAATTAACTGGTGCGATTCCCATACTTTCTGCCACATTCCAGCGCTCTATCAGCTCCCATGGACTAAATGGCCAATTTGAATAGTTTGAAGAATAACAGAGCATTGTTCAAATTGCATTTTGTTCGCACCATCTTAACGCTCATAAATCTGAATAATTTTAAGGTCATTCCCAGTATTTCATTGCGCATCCTTACTGCGTGTAATTTGTGGCCTCATTAACGCGCGTTCATGCACGCGCACAATGAAATCATGGCACATCTGCCTTGATATTAAGTTCTGCCATTTGAAAAATGGCTGTAGCTCACTAACGAGATCGTGCACCCCAAATTTTTTCCAGTCATTCTAATCAACTAATCATTAGCTTTGCGTGAGAAAAGACTGATCTGATTTCTATTGTTGAAAATTGAATAAATTAGGAAAATAGCAGCTGCACTGTAGTCTTTTCTATTTTGCAGTTTGATAGCCGTGGCAAGCAATTTGGTTCCACTATTTTACATGTAACAAGGATTCAGCTGTCTGTCAAAATCAAACTTAAAAAGTTTATTTGTGTCCGATACAAGTATTCACTGTAGTTTGAGGCGTGTTTTCATGAGTCTGGGCTCACAAAGAGTTTACAATAACTTGGAATAGGTTCTTGTAATAAGCATTAAGTAACGCTAAAATGGGACATTTTCAATGCCTCACTGCTCCTTAACGAGCATGGGCACCCCCCTTTTTTATTTTATAATTAAAGTTCTCATATGATAAATATTCATTGGACAAAGTTTGAACAAAAATCTAAGTGCAGTCTTATTTCAGGGGTTCCAAAAGCCATCTGTGTTCATAGGCTAACCAAAATCACCTATTAGCTTACGAGATTTGTTTTCTTTCTCGGTATGCTGAGATGATATGAAACAGATAACTCGTTGATCGCAGGCATCAGCTTTGTTATTTTAGTCAGCGGCGAAATTTTCATGTTCCGTGAGATGAAAATAATTCATTGGTTTTGTTCTTCCAAAGGTGTCCTCTAAACGGTTAATATAAGTTTTATTTTCACTGTATTTTTATTTTTTACCTGTATTATTTTACGTAAATGACTCCTGTTTTCACAATAAAAATGCTAATTCTCCATGACTTCTATGTTATGCAACCGTTATTTCGGCTTTCCACCATTGCAGAAAAAAGCAAAAAGGGGGAGTCTTGATCCCATTGTCTTGCAGAGTGGTCTACAACATTGTCCATACACAGAGCGATGGGTGCAATTCTTCTCCAATTCTTTATCAGTGATCTGTGGAAGACAGATGCCAGTTTGGATATACTACTGTTCTACATTCAGAGCAAAGAAATTGGAAACAAAAAGTACTACGAAGAAACAAGAGAACTTGAAGAATGGCAAAGTTAGATTTCGCCTGAATATTGACGTTAGAGAGGAGAAGGAAGACTCATGGCTGAATGGAATACAAACAAAACGCGTTCGTAAAAGGCCGACTGAATTTGAGCAGCAAGAGTAGAGCAGCAGCCAATGTTCACCTTATGGAATTTCTTTTCGATAACTGGCTGAAGAATAACCATATTATCGTAGATATAATATATTACCTTCGCAGTCTGCTTGTACTTGGGTTTTTTTACAAGTTTTAGTTTCCAAACTTATTTCTCAACCAAATTAATCCTCAAAGGAGCAAAGACACTGGCATCAAAAGAACTAGACACGGCATTTTATAACTTTGAATGAACAGCTCGAAATCACACGATAGGCTTTCGCAAGTGGAGGAACAAAATTATGAAGTTGAAATTAAAAAAGTCAACTTTCTTTGTAAACTCTTCTCTTGAAGCTATCGTTCAGTTAGTTCAGAAGGCATTGCTTACTTGACTACTTGCAAAATAAAATAGAGGATATTACATGCCCGCCCGTGGATACGAATTTCATATTCGAGTGATCAACTCGATGCGCGAACGAGATATTGAGTTGAACACCAGAAGATAACATTTGTATCCACAAGCGGGCATGTAATATTCTGTTTATGATATAAACATACTAATGACGACGTTTTTGATGATTTTTGATGTTTCATCTTACGAAGTGTAATATCAAGCCTAGTTTTATCAAAGTTTGATTTTGACAATTCGATCAGTGGCTTTATTTAGAAGAACTTTAGTGGATCTTTTCCCAGCAAGGCAGCTAAGTGATGCAGTCTGTGATAGTAGCTAACGGTAAAAGCTGGCCGTGAACAGGCTCCCAGCGAGGGTGGAAACAAATTTCGCGAGCAAAGTATGAATCCGCAAGCAAAGCGAGTGGGAGTCCACGAGCGATGCAAGTGGAAGCGTTAATCCGTGGGACTCCCTCATCACCAGACCGCTCTCGACTCGGCTAGCTCGCACTAAACCCAACCAGGGGCCCGTTTCTCAAAAGCCCCGGAAACTTTTCGGGCCCGTAAAGCCATTTTTAGTCCATCTATCTAATCAAAGGCTCTGCGAGCCAACTCGTGAATTTGATAAGCCAATGAAATTTAAATATCGTCAATAGAAAACGAGGTTTGATTTCCATACTAGGGTATGAACCGTTCTAAGAAGTGTCGTAAATGGTTCAACGGCAAACAATCACTCCGGTTTCACTTTGAATCTCCTTTATTCTCTCTGATCCGCTCTGGTTCTTTCG